TAGGAGAAACCATAGGTGAGGTGATAGAGGAGAAAAGAAAGAAGGGAGAAGGTAAGAGAGAGAAGGTAGGATGGGGATTGTGCGGTGCGTATCAAGGCAAATAGATAGGATCAAAAGATAAGTCTGACTAAATTAAAGTGATTGTAAAGAGGGGTAGAACGGGAAAAAGAAATGGGTCAATCAAATAAAAACTCCTATTAAAGGAATAAATTGATATGAACTCCTATTTTGGAACTTTTTTATTGATTTGCTTCTATTTAGGGTAATAACTTTATATATAAGGCAATTTACATTATCAATTACTATATAATGCTATATATATATACACATATATATATATATTCTTTGCAGATACGTAGCTATGACAGTGTCGATATCATTCTACAATCTTTAGCGTGGGGACCTTCTACTCATGCAAAAGTTTGTCACTCATATGTTATAAATGGTTACACATACCATACACGCGCTTATGCATACCATACACGCGCTTATGGTGAGGACAACCCCACAATGAATAGCGGAATATGTGTCCCGACAGTTGGTTATGATAATTCTGAAACAAACTTTTTTGGTTTTTGGAAGAGATTCTAGAACTGAGTATGCCGCGAGTAGAACAAGATTTGTCAATTGTTCTTTTTCGATGCACATGGGTTGATCCGATACGAGGTGTGCAAAAACATTCAAAACAAAATTGACAACCCGCTCAACAAGCGTATTGATGTTAATCATTCTCGAGTGTATCGGAATAATGAGCCTTTTATCCTCGCTCAACAAGCTGCACAAGTATATTACGCTGAATATCCTTCGACTCGACAAACGCCGAATCCGTGGGTTTGTGCATGCACTATCCGCCCAAGGAAAATTGTCACACAAGCTCAGCACAAAGACTTTGATTTAGATGCTTTTCAACAAGAGTATTTTCAGTCACCGCCTGTTGTTGAAGCTATCACTGATAACATTGTGTTGAGTGATCAAAGCAGGGCAGAAATAGAAGTAGTTTTACCTAAAAAAACTTCGTCCCGGATTCCTCAAACAGAACTAGAAATAGTTCAAAAACAACAACAACAACAACAACAACAACAAGAAGAAGAAGAATGGATATCTGGTGAAGATACGGAGGAAGAAATTATTTATGAAGAAGATCATGATTCTGAAAGCGATTAATTTCTATTTACTATATCGTTGTATCAAACTTATTGTGGTACTTCGGTACTTGTATTAAATAATTTATGTACTTTATAATTCTCTATTTTTTCTTGTTACTTATCGAATTTCTAATACAACACAATAACAGTTTTTTTTCACTTTAATCAAATATTATATGTTTTTTCCCTCAAATTTCAAAAATAATCCTCAAATATTTTTTTACTTAATATTTATTTTAATCTAAATCATAAAATTCGAAAAAAAATTATATTAAAATTCAAAAATTCTAAATTGCGTTTTAATCTAATGCATTTTTATCATATAATCTCAAATATTTTTTTCCTTAATATTTATTTTAATCTAAACTTTAAAATTCGAAACGTTGTTGTATTAAAATTCAAAAATTTTAAAGTGTAAACTTTTACCGCTTTTTGTATTCTAAAATTCAAGCACAACAAATGAAAATAATATCAAACAGATGGTTTTTTTTATTACACAACTTGTGTTAGGGATTTGTCAAGGAATAACCTCCCACTAATTTCAAATTCAAACGGCGCACACTCCCCATTCTGACGAGCTCTTTATCCGGGGTGACAGGAAAATCGATTTCCAACGCGTTTGTCAGAGACATATCCCTCACTAAATCCCTTACTAAACCGTGAATTGGAACTTGCGCCGTTCGAGTTAATCACGAATTTGAATTTTAATTGGTTAGGGAGTATGTGGAACCTTGTTGGGGATTTATCCATGACTAATAATTTAATATATAAATGTTACTTTGTCATTTTGCCGCACTTCTCTTCGCTCCACGACCCTAAAGCTTCAATTCGCCTCTACGTAATCCCACTCGACTCCACACATTCGTCGCCGCTGCGTCGGAATCCTACTGGCTGCCGCCTCTGAGTCAGAAGCCGCCGTCGTAGAAAGCCTCCTCCTGTACTGTTCAGGTCACATCTTCCATTTTTTGGTTCGTTTATATTAAGTGTTTTCTTGTTTTTACATTCGTATGCATGTCTCGGATTTTAAGTTTGGTTATATGTATGCTTAACTTAGTAAATCTTCCCTAAATCTATGTATGTATCTTCTAATTCATACTGTGAATGTTCTTCATTGCAGACGGTATCTTTTCAATTATATGTATGTTTAACTTAGTAAATCTTCTCTAAATCTATGTATGTATCTTCTAATTCATACTGTGAATGTTCTTCATTGCAGACTGTATCTTTTCAATTTTTTCCGACAGTATCTTATTAGGGATTTTTTGAACTATGATCCCTAACAAAATCCTTGACTATTCCAGTGTTTTTTTTGTAGTGAAACTTTAATCGATAAAAAATCACCAAATAAAATCCATCAGATAAGATTTCATCCAACGCACCTACACACATTAAAATATGAAAATTAATAGATAAATGAAAATTAGTATCCTACGTATTTATTATTTCTTATTAATTTTTTATTAATATTACGTTATTAACATGTTAATAAATATGTTATTTATTATTTTAATATTGCATTTAGTGTACGAAACTGAAATTTCTAATTGTTATGTATATCTACATTATTATTATTTTAGCCGGAAACTACGAAATCCCCATAAGAAGGAAAAAAGTGCAAATAAGCCCTCGAACTAACTGAAAAAGTGCAAATCACCCCTTTTATAGGATGCTTTGTCCAGCCGTCGCCATTTGGGGAGGTTCCCGGTGGAATTTTTTGATGAATTTTTTTGAGCATCTTCTTCATTAGAAGTATAATCATTCATAAGCTTGGGCTTACTCTTGATGGTAAGGAGATATCGGTTTGTGATATGTTCTGTTACTTGGATTCCATAATTCAGAAGGATGGTGAATTAGATGGAGATGTATGTCATAGAATCAAAACTGGGTGGATGAAATGGAAGATTGCACCAGGATTTCTATGCTATCGAGGTATGCCGAATAGATTGAAATGTAAATTTTATCAAACAACAATTAGGTCTGCATTAATGTATGGTGTAGAATATGTTGGCAGAGAATATGTTGTGTTGGATGTGTAGACATACAAGAAAAGACCGATTGAGGAATGAGATAATCAGACAAAAGGTGGGAGTAGCACCAATAGAAGATAAGATGCAGGAATCTCGTTTGCGGTGGTTTAGGCATGTGCGTAGAAGACCGAGTGAACCTGTTAGACGACTTGAGGGGTGGGGAGAAGAGGCAGAGAAGAGAGGGAGGGGAAGACCCAAGCAGACTTAGATTTGAGGAATCAGAATTGATATTGGATGAGAGTATGACTTTGGAGAGAGCAACGTGGAGGGGGCAGATCTGTGTGGACGATTGATGTCTTTTCTACCTTTTCTCTCTCTTCTCTTTTATCATTTATCTTCTTGATCTTTTTATATTCTAATGTTATTTTTATCTTCTAGCTTTTTCATGTTCTTTTATCTTTCTATCCTTTATCTTTCTTACTACGTATATTCTTATTTTATTGTTATCTTATATTTATTTATCTTTACTTTGTCCGTTTTGTCTTACTTTTTTCCCCTTCTTGTCCATCTTCTCCGTTTGGCTTCGAAATAATAAATCGATTCATGTTAGTGGACTCCGAAATTTTTGAGATTAAGATTTGGATGTTGTTGTTATTGTTGTAGTCATTCATAAGCTCTTGTATACACATGCAACTAGATAGTATGTACAACAAATGTGTACAAATAATGTGTACAAAAATAGTACTCCTCAACGACAAATATAATGTTTTATGTTTGGTTTGGAGTATCTTTGAAATGAACAATGGGTGTTCGCCTAATCGCCATAAGTTGGAATGTACTTGTATACACTAGTCAGGGTTGAATATTGATAATCACGAGGGACTGGAGGAACATGGTGTGGACCGGATTCAACGGATATTTTTGAATACATCCAAATATCATTTTGTTATAATGCAAGACTTTATTTTAACAATTGCGGTTTTATGATATTTAATCATTGAATTTTAATGATTCTATATGAAAAAGAATCACTGTGTTTAGGGTCCATTTATGAAGCTCGATTCAAGTTCGAGTTTAGGTAGGATCGGCACTGACCGGATTGTATGTGTCTCAGACACCAAAAGTGAATCTAGCGCTCTCATCCCAAATATGGGACATGCTTTATTCATATTATTAGAGTATGGTTAATTTGTAAAAGGGTAACATTTACTTGCGACAAACTTTATACTTCGTATTAGTAATCGTACCTTGCACCATAGCTAATCTATCTTTGTAGATTTCGAAAGCAAGGATATCTTGTGGCTGTATTATTGTCAACTCACTACAAAAAAAATCGTCTGTAGTCACGAATTTAGTCACGGACCGTAGTGTAATATATCTGTGACTAACACATTTAGTCACGGATTTTGTCCGTGACTAGGTCCGTGACTAATTCCGCGTGACTAGAATGTAGTCACTGAACATTGGCCGTGACTAAGTATAATCACGGCTTAGTCACGAGACCGAGTCCGTGACTAAATCTTGACCGAAATTAGCCCTCCGGGGCGTTAGTCACGGACCATATCCGTGACTACTTTTAATTTAAAATTTTTTATGTTAGTCACGGACATGGTCCGTCACTAAGTTTAATTTGATTTTTTTTATTTTTGTAGTAGTCACGGACACGTACGTGACTAATGTTTAAAAAAAGCCCGTGATTAGTCACGGACATGTATCCGTGACTATGTTTTGAAAAAAAAAATTGAATTTAGTCCGGATTAAAACGTAGTCACGGATTTAGTCCGTGACTAATGTTTTTTGTTTTTAAAAAAAAAAATCGTTTTAAATAAAAAAAATAAAAAATAATTTTAATTTTACTTTAAAGCAATTAGAATAAAAACAAATTCCATACAATCTTAAACATAAAAAATGTTATTACAGAATGAATTATAAAAACAAAATCCATACAATGTTAAACAATATTATGTAATTACATGCCCGTACGTCGTACTCCATTATGATAAAAATTAGAATCATCATAATCATATGCGTCATCATTATCATCATAGTCACGATGATGATCCTCTTCTGCATCCACGGTGTCTAAGGGTCGGGTACCTCCTCGGCTGCCTCGGTTGCCTCCTCGGTTGCCTCCTCGGTTGCCTCCTCGGTTGCTTCCTCGGCTGCCTCCTCGGCTGCCTCCACCGGATGACTGAAACTGATTGAGAATATCAGACGACGGAGATCCGAATGTCGACCCCATTGCAGGCATGGCACCATATCCGGAGTTAGAGTGATAACCCATATTACCCATGTGCGGAACCTGAGGAGTCTGCTCAACGTGCAACATGTACGGCCGAGGAAGAGGCTGAGGTGGAGGCTGATATCCGGCAACGATCCGTTCCATTGCTTCCAGCCGGGCCCTTGTTTCTTCATCATTCTTCCGTAGCTGTTCGAATGTCTGCTGCTGCTCCTCCAATTCTCGCTGCAATTGGGCGATGCGTGGATCCTCTCCCCGCCTAGATCGAGAAGATGATGAAGCTCCGCTGCCGCTGTGATCGTACAAAATACGTTGCCCCTCAGCCCCGAGGCACGGAAGCCGACCCTTGTACACCCCAGTTGCCTCAAGGATCGCATCATCTTCCACATCAGAATCGATGTCATCTTCTTGCGTCAAGCCTAGTTCCGCCCGCTTCTTTTCGGCATTTGCGTTATACTTTGTCTACAAGCATGTACAAAAATTATTGAAATGATATTTACTTCGATTTGAAATAATAAAATTGATGTTACGTACTTCGATTTCAGCAAGGCGGGGTGGCAGATTGGCTTCTGACTCATCTCCGTGCGGGGTCCAACAATGTTTGATGATCTTGAGGATAGAAACCCTCTTCTTTTGAGGCCCCGCCTACAAGGTTCGAAAAAGGTTCGAAAAAGGTTTAAATAAATGTAAAAAAAATAAAGGGTTAAAATGGTGTAAGGTTTATTTGAATAAGACTTACAAGAGCTTCTTTATGTTTACTCTGAGGTTTGCGGCCTCCGTGCCATTGTGTTGTCAATGCCTTCTCGGACATCCGATTTTTCTTCCCGGCTTCGCTTCTAGCCAAGAAAGTCAGATCCGAAGACCAGTGGCGGACGAGGTTTTCCCATACCTCATCCGAACACCATTGAGGCCTTACCCCACTGGCTCGGGCACGCTTAAAAGTGGGACGAATCCAGTTTGAAACTCTGGCATTATACGCCCTTAGAATAGCGGGACCTTGTTCTTCAGTCCAACGAAACCGGGTCTTTATTAAAAAAATAAATTAACTTATCATTTGTCAAATTTAGGTTACAACAATAACGGAAAATTCATTTTTTTTACCTTGAACAAGTTCCACCAAAGTTCACGGACCTTAGGGTCAACATCCGTGTACGTAGCCCAGTTGCCAAGAAAGTGTCCACCAATTATGATTTGAATTTGGTTCAGCACTTCTTGATATTCCCTGTTTTCTATAACAACAGTATAATATGGCATACAGATGAAAGATTAACAATAGAGATGAACACAGAAAGATCAAGTGAAAACCTTCTCTGATATACCGTGAATCTTTCGTACAAGAATGATAAGCGCTAAGGCTATTTTGAGCAGATACGAAAGTTAACCACAAACCTGAGTCCTCCTCCCTCTTTTATAGGCGAGGCTCAGGTATGCGTACAAAGGCTTCTTGCCTGAGTATGGGCCTAACACTTGGCCCATATTGTATACTATTCTAACAGATATATTTAATCAGTACAGAATAGAAATAGTAAACATCTAACTTATTACAGACAAGACAGACAAACTTGATTCACAATAAATAGTCTTCAACAATCTCCCCCTTTGTGATCAAGTGCCGTCTTGCATTTATTTTTGAGATCTGAAGTAATGTTTTCTGAAATTTAGCGCATGCTCATACTGTCTCAGCATTCTTCTCTTTTCAAGTTGCTCGTTGATAGGCTTTAGGATGGTCCACACCTTCTCGTATACTTGGAGCTCTTCCTCGCTGGCGTCCGCAAGTCTTGGATCTATATTTTCTTTGATCTCTTGTAGCTTAGTCTGAATGATCTTCAGAGTCCCATCACAGTATTTGTGAATGTCTTCTACCCACATGAGTCTTTTCTGTTCCTCGTGATTGAGATATATGATGGAGACTGGGTCCTTGAAGATGTGGTATGGTCTGTACTTTTTGAGCTCTGGACCGTTCAGAGTCGGTTTTACCAGATTCGCTTTTCGAACATTGTTTTCCAGGGCCATCTGTAGATCATGGGCAGCATAGAATCTGATCTGTCTCAGCATAAACCGCTTGATCGCCTCATAGCCTTCTTCGTGTGTCCTGTTTCGACTCAGTGGGAGGTACCTACTTACCATGAACATTTGGTAGATATCCTCCATTTTCATCATTATAAAGTCGTTTTCCTGGCAGATGAATATGCTGGAGTCTGTCCGTCGAACTTTGAAGCTGTAGAACGGGATGGTGTGATGATCTTCTCTGTGTATATCAAGGATAGCGTCAATAGGATGGGTGCTGGACTTCATATCTCTCTCCAGTACTTGACGTTGCTTTCCAGATGATCTGTGCATCAGCATGTGAAGATGTCCGCCAACCATTTTTCCTTTGAGGTGAGTCAAACCACGGATCTTTAGTTCATCTAGCTGTTTGAGCTTGTCTGCGGTTCTCCAAATTCCCTTTCTGATTTCCTCTTGGAAGGGGGCATTTATTCTGATGTTTTCCCAGAGTTTTTCTTTTGGGGGCAACTTGCTTGCCGTTTGTCTGATGACGGATTCTAGCTCCCTGGGTATCTTTTTGTAGTCCTCCCCTTCCTTGAGTTCCTCTTCATCAAGGCGTATGATGTCTTCTGCGCATTTGGCCAGTAACTCTCTCAGCCACCAATTTCGCTGCATATCCTCTGACTCGGCTTCGCTTCTAAGATCATCCCACTCTGTCCATTTTCTCGGCCAAACGTCATATACCACAGCATCCTCGAGTGCATCGTGAATATCTTTGCCTTGGGGAATGTAGGGGACTCTCAGCTGTGGTGATTTTTCTCGTGAGTCACAACCGGGTTCACTAGGATTGCCCGTTGTCATCAGGTTAGAACTGAGTTCTGGCTGATGGCCTGACTTGACAGATGAGTCAGATATAGCATTGTCAGGACTTCCATCCCCTCCTCGAACGGTATCCTTTGGAGACACGCCTCGGGATGTTGTCATCGATTTCGAACTGTGTTCTGATCGATGGCCTGAACTTTGTGATGTACCAGAGGTAACCACTACAGGACTTCCATCCCCTCCTCGGACAGTATCTCTAGGAGATAAGCCTCGGGATGTTTCGTCTAGCTCGACCAGGCTAGAGAGTTGGGCTTGGTTGTGGCTCGAGGAAGGTAGTGGTTGGTTGGTGGGCTGGTTTGATGAGGTGTTTGGCTGGGGTTCATGGCTGGTAGAGGCTGCTTGCTCAAGTGTCCGAGGCCTCTTGTTCTCCCCCTCATGAGGTTCCGAATCATCGGGATCCTCATGGGAACGTTTGAGACCTCGGGGACTGTCACGGCAAGTGCCGTACTGAGGGCGGTCATGTTTGAAGAAAATTTGGAGAAGGTCGCGTTCGAAGGGTGAAAGGTGCTAAGTGTCGACCTCCAGCAACCGAAGAAACAGGAGATCAGCAAGCTCAAGGCGGGACAGGTGGTAGGGATTGGTCGAGGCAGAGGGCGATACCAGTTCCGTATCGTGGGTTCCCCGAGAGAGTGAAGGGCTAAATGGTGTGGTGGATGGGAGAGGGATGGTAGGAGTGGGTTGTGGAATGGACTGAGAGGGTGAAGAGTGGGGTTTGGGGTGGCTCTGTTCACTATGAACCGCTGGGGTTGGTTTGGAGTCCTGTGCCCAAGCGGTGAATGCTTGTTGCACCCATGGTTTGATGGTGGACTCCATGTAGCGGTTCATGAGAACGGTAACGTCTTCGGGTGTAAGGTTTCCAGTTACGGGGGTTGTAACTGTTGTCACAGCATCAGTGAAGAGAGTTGATGTGTGGCCTGCGTGCAAAGATGAAGTCATTTTTGGCACAGCAGGGCTTCCGACCATCCTTGTTTGCACTCCGGTCGTTGTATCCAGGGTGTGTGCACCTGTATGTGCTGTGAAAGGTGTAGGTGTCCTAGAAAAATTGGAAAATGTGGGGAATGTGACACCTAGACTCGATGTGGAGAAAGAGGGGGTTGTGGCCTCGGGCGGTGGGCCACTAGAGCGCTCAACTGGTTCGGAGGGAACCAGTGAGGTGGGTGAGTCCCGTGATGTTGAAACGTTAGCCTTTTGGGAGGCTAACGAGTGGCTGGGAGAGGGCGGTGCATGCGCAGTTGAGCCCGATGCTGCGGCTTCTACTCGGGGACCAACAAGGTTGGCCCCTGTACTTAGAGATTCGGCTCGGCTTATAGAGATGAAGGGAAGACAGTCGTCGAAAATATGAAGGTCCTCGTCAGCAACCAAACTCTTTCGGACAGGACGCTGCTTCTTGGCTTTAGCCTTAGGTGACCGGGGAGCAGCAATCTTAGTTGTAGCTGTCTCCTTCACGGGTTTGAGGACTAACGTCTTGGGACGGGCAGCTATAAAAGGAGCTACATCCTCAGGGGTGACCTTCTTTGGAGGAGAATCAATTGGCAGCTTCCCCTTTCGGATCAGAGTGAAAGTGTGCTCCACGCCGTCACTATCGTCGGAGTCATCATCGCCGTCATCATCCTCATCGTCTTTGGCCACGCTATTGGAGGCCTCATCGTCAGCCTTTTTGTGGGCCGGGCTGAACGATTCATCGGCAGGTTCCGCAGCGTTTGTACGTGCGCCCTCAGCCGTCTGATTCCTCTCGAGAGAATCATCAGACTTCCCTTCATGGGGCACACGCGCCACTGGTTTCTGTGGCTTACTGGCTCTCTTCGGACCCTTACTAGCTCTCGGCTTAGGCCCCGGGGCAGGTCCAGCTGGGTTTGACTGAACCATGGGGCCATCTTTCAGTAGACTCTCCCTATACTGGATGACTGCGGAATGTTGTGGATTTCCCAGGTCCAGCAGATAATCGGGTATGGTCATCCCCACAGTGTCATGCTTGAAGCGCTTGAAGTACTGGAGTTTCGGAGCAGTGAACTGGTCTTCATCTTTGCGCTGTGGGATCCCTGGGTGGGCGGTCATGTAGTCAGCAATAATGAGCGCCAATCATCTGGCGTAGGGAATCGGCATACCCGTCTTTCCGTCCTCTTTGTCTTGGACTTGAGTGACCAGCTCAATCCAGAATAGCTGCGCCATATCGTAATTTTTTGCGAAGACGATCCCATGGAAGATTTGGAAGATCTGCAGGTTGCACTTGTCATGGCCGGCGTGCTTTGGAGAGAGGCATTTGTTGACAAGGCCGAACAGTGTCTTCCACGGGTATGGCAGGTTCATCAGCTTGAAGTGGGACAGGAACGGTAGCGGAGCATCATAACCCAATTGCACTAGTCCTTCCATTAGTTCGGCCTTGGAGGGTAGTTGTTCATAGGTATCGTGGATAGGCAGCTCCAGTATGGCTTGTAGAGTGGATGCTGTTAAAGTGAGACGTCTGTTGTGGAGCGTTGCACTCAGACTGGATGCGTCCTTCTTGGATGTCAAGTGCATGGTCCCCCATAGTTGTTGCAAGTAGATTTCGGGGACCGTGATCGCTTTGCTTAGTGCTTGCCAGATGTAATGCCCCTTAAGAATTATGGGAATGACCGGATCAGGGCACCTGAAGACAGCTAGGTCGAGCTGAAAGTTGTTGTCTTGTAGCCGAACCCACTTGTATTTGGGGAACAGCTGTGTGTAGTGCGCATCCTCCTGGGGAGTATCTTGTTGAGTGCCTGACATTTTGAGCTGAAAGAATGGCACCCGTTAGTAAAAAATTTATTTTGGGTTTAGGATTTCAGAGATGAGGAAACGAGTTCTGGCACCAAGGTTGTTAACTCGAGCCCATGAGTGCGAGTTAACAAACTCGAGCCCATGAGCACGAGTTTACGAACTCGAGCCATGGGTGCGAGTTAACAAACTCGAGCTCTGAGTGCGAGTTTACAAACTCGAACCCGGGCTGCGAGTTTACAAACTCGAACCCTGGCCGCGAGTTTACAAACTCGAACCCTGGCCGCGAGTTTACAAACTCGAGCCCTGAGCGCGAGTTTACAAACTCGAGCCCTGAAGGCGAGTTTACAAACTCGAGCTCCAGAGCGCGAGTTTACAAACTCGAGCCTTGAAGGCGAGTTTACAAACTCGAGCCCAGAGCGCGAGTTTACAAACTCGAGCCCAGAGTGCGAGTTTACAAACTCGAGCCCAGAGCGCGAGTTTACAAACTCGCGGTCTGCTCGAATTTGAAACGGCAGTCCATGAACTCGAGTTCCAGAACTCGTGTTCGCACGAAGAAGATAACCACCTGAAAAACAAAGCAATAATAAGGATAATCAGTCAATCAAGCCCCCTTTTGTTTGAAAATTTATTTTGAGGAAAAGCGCGTCGTTTTTTTATTGTGATTTTGGTTAAGGGACAGTTCGAGATGTGTGAAGGTCTGAGAGAGGAGAGTGATGGGAAGTACGAAGTGAAAATCTACCTGTGTGAGGGGTGAGTGGAGGTCTGTGAGAGGGAGGGAAGTTTGGAGGACGGCGGAGAGTGTTAGTGAGAATTCGAGCTCGGAGTGTTTTCTGCGAGAAGGAAGCTTAGGCAATGGGAAGGAAGGGGATTAAAAATGAGTATATATACGCGAGTTTAGAAACGGGCCGAAAAGAAATTTGGGCCTTAGGGGTGAAATGATCCATTTATGATCAGTAAAAAGTACTCCCCCTCGCTGAAGTCAACACACGCATTGTTGTTGGTTTTTTTTTTGTTTTTTTTTTTTTAAGATTTTTCAAAATTTCTCCCCCTCGATGAATGCAATGAACACACACTAAATGCACCTCACTCACACTATTTTTTTTTGATCTTTTAGTCCTTTTTCTCCCCCTCGATGAATGCAAACGCACACACACTATTTTTGATCTTTTTTGCTCTTTGTCTCCCCCTCGACACATGCAACGCACACAAATTACAAACACACATACACACACTTTGTACAGGTCCCACACACACACACATTTTTACAGACCAGAGGAAACAGAATTACAAAGGCTCGAGGTTCAACATGCCTAATTTGGAAACCAGGAACTGGAATCTCTTTTCATCCAATGCCTTAGTAAACAAATCAGCCAGTTGAAGCTCGGAGCTTACAAAGTACATGTCAATATCCCCTTTTTCCACGTGGTCTTTGATGAAATGATATCTCAGGTCGATGTGTTTCGTGCGGGAGTGATGAACCGGGTTGCTGGTGATGGCGATGGCACTCTGAGAGTCACTGTAGATCGGGATATGACAGAAAGTGTAACCGTAGTCTTTTAGCTGGGTCTTCATCCATAATATTTGTGAACAACAGCTAGCAGCCGCGACGTATTCTGCCTCGGCCGTAGATGTTGACACACAGTTCTGTTTCTTGGAAGACCAGCAGACTAACTTATCGCCCAAGAACTGGACAGCTCCCGAGGTACTTTTGCGGTCCATCCGGCAACCAGCAAAATCTGCGTCAGAGTATCCGACGAGGTCAAAACCTGAGTGTTTGGGATACCAAAGGCCTAGATGCACTGTGCCTTTGAGGTATCTCAGTATTCTTCGAACAGCCGTCAGATGGGACTCCTTTGGATTCGCCTGAAAGCGTGCACATAAGCATGTAGAGAAGACGATATCAGGCCTGCTAGACGTGAGATACAGCAACGATCCAATGATTGCCCTATAGTTTGTGGCATCGACTGATTTCCCAGAAGGGTCTGAGTCCAGTTTGTTGGTGGGGGACATAGGGGTCGGCATGGAAGACTTGCTATCGATGTTGAATCTCTTAAGCATTTCCAAAATATACTTGGACTGATTGATGAAAATGCCGTCAGAGAGTTGTCTTACTTGCAGGCCTAGGAAGAAGTTTAGCTCTCCCATCATGCTCATTTCAAACTTAGTTTTCATTAGTTTCTCAAAATGTTTGCACAGACATGGATTTGAGGAGGCGAAGATGATATCATCAACATAGATCTGAATCAGGATGATGTCAGACTTCTGTCGCTTGATGAAAAGTGTAGTATCAATCTTCCCTTTTGAGAAACCTGAGTCAACCAGAAATTCAGTTAAAGCATCGTACCAAGCTCTTGGGGCTTGTTTCAGTCCATACAGAGCTTTTTTCAGCTTGTACACATGGTTGGGGTATCTGGGATCTACAAATCCTTCGGGCTGAGCGACATAGACTTCTTCTTCCAAGACTCCATTCAGAAAGGCAGTCTTGACGTCCATTTGAAAGACGGTAAAGTTCTTGTGGGCCGCGTACGCAAGAAAGAGGCGTATTGCTTCATTTCTTGCTACGGGTGCAAATGTTTCATCATAGTCTATGCCCTCTTGCTGATTGTATCCTTTAGCGACCAGCCGTGCCTTGTTGCGTATCACTGTGCCTTCTTCGTCCTTCTTGTTCTTGAACACCCATTTGGTGCCAATTATGGTTTTCTGAGGGGGTTTAGGCACGAGTGTCCATACTTCTAATCTGTCAAACTGGTTGAGCTCATCTTGCATAGCAATCACCCAATCTGGATCAACGAGTGCATCTGAGACTTTAGATGGTTCATTCTGGCTTAGAAAGCATGCATAGTGACATTCATTCATAGTAGCCGATCTCGTACGCACACCTTGACCCGGATCACCGATTATTTGTTCAGTGGGATGAGCTCTTGTCCATTTCCTCTCATGTGCAAGAGGATTAGGTGTAATGATCGGTTGATCCGAGTCCTGGTAAGGGATTGGTGACTCTTGAGCAGCTGAGGCGTGCGGTGGAGATGACTCTGATGTGGTAGCAAACCCGTGATCATCCACTCCTCCGTGATTAGTTTGGGGAGTTGACGGAGTAGATGGTTCATTATCAAGTCCGAGAAGGAGTGGAATCTCAGTGAAAGTAGTTGGTTGCTGTGGAATGTTTGACGATGAAGCTGGTGTGCAAGGAGAAGGTGAAGGTTGTGAATTCTCGTAGAAGTTCTGAAAGAGAGAGTTGAGAATCACACCTTCAGGTACAGGGTTTTGTTCAACAGTGTCAGAGTCCACTGGTGCAGTAAGTGACGGGTCAGCTTGTAGGTGTTCCGTTGCGAAATCAGCCATCTCATAGAATGTCACATTAACACTCTCAATGACCGTTCGGTTGTCTCTAAGATAGACTCGGTAAGCTTTGGACTGCTGGGAGTAGCCAATGAACACCCCTTCTTGGGCTTTTGCGTCTAGCTTACCTCTATCAGTTAGTTCATTTAGTACGAAGCACTTGCAGCCAAATATCTTAAAGAATGAGATATCCGGAGTTCGGTTGAAAAGGATTTCATATGGGGTCTTGTCGAAGCGTTTGTGAATAGATGTTCTGTTTTGGGTGTAGCACGCCGTATTAATGGCCTCTGCCCACATAAAGTGTGGCAATCTTGACTGGATGAGCATGGTGCGTGCCGCTTCGACAAGGGTCCTGTTCTTTCTTTCAACCACTCCATTTTGTTGGGGAGTTTTGGCTGCTGCGAATTGCTGTGTGATACCGAGAGATTCATAGAATCCAGTGAGAGTTTGGTTCTTGAACTCGGTACCGTTGTCAGTTCTGATGATTCGAACACTTTGCTGCAGCAGTTTTTGGACTGTTCTGACAAAGGTCATAATGATTTCTGCTGCCTCGTCCTTTTTACGAAGAAATTTTGTCCATGTGTACCGAGAGAAGTCATCAACGATCACCAGTGTATATTTGCGGCCGTTGATGCTTTGGACTCTCATAGGTCCACACAGATCCATGTGTATCAGTTGCAGCGGTAAAGTAGATGATGGGACAGGCTTTGACTTGTGGGAGCTTCTCGTCATTTTGCCCATTTTGCAGGCACTACAATGATTCTCTGTGGAAGATTTCAACGGAGGAAGCCCCTTTACAAGTTTCTTCGATGACAGGATGGACAAATTCTTGAAATTAAGATGGGAAAGACGTCTGTGCCAGAGGTTGTTTTGTTCCGTTGAAGCTTTGGACAGCAGACAGATGGAAGTGGTGGATTGAACGCTTTTCAGATCAATAGTGTACAGGTTGGAGGTCCTGTAACACGTTAACAATGAACCTCACTTCCATCCCACTGTCGCAGAATTGTCCTATACTCAGAAGATTGTGTTTGAGCCCTTTGACAAAAGAAACATCTTTGATGGTGACGCTGGCACAGATGACATCCCCATATCCAAGAATAGGAGATGAGGCGTCGTTCCCGAATCTAACATTGCCTCCATAGCAGGTGGTATAGTTGCTCAGTAGGTACTTTACTCCGGTCATGTGGGTTGAGCATCCAGAATCCAAGTGCCACACATGACCGTCCTGCAAAACAGTTAAACAGGTTCAGGTACCCATCTTGGAATGGGTCCTTCCTCATCATTGAAAAACATCCATTCAAGTTTCGCTTTGAGCTGTGATCCAAAGTCCGCAGCTTTTTCAACAAGAGATTTATCTCTTGTGGGCTCTCTGACAGCCAGATCTGCTTTTGCAGTGGGTCTGATTTTTGGGACCCACTTAACAATTTCCTTTTTAGTTTTGGTGGGTCTGAGATGTCTCATCTTAGGGACCCACCTTTCAGGTTCATGTTGGATGGGTCTTCGTCTGTGGACCCACCTTTCAGTTTCAGTTTGGATGGGTCTTCGTCTGCGGACCCATCTTTCAGTTTCAGGTCTGGTAGGTCTCATCTTAGGGACCCACCTTTCAAGTTCAGGCTTGGTAGGTTTCATTTTAGGGACCCACCTTTCAGTTTCGGGTTTGGTAGGTCTCATCTTAGGGACCCACTTTTCTGCTTTAGTTTGAGTGGGTCTTATCTTGGGAACCCACCTTTCCATTTTAGGTTTAGGAGGAGAGTAGACAGGTGCTTTGTGATTGAAAGGTTGTTTCTTCAATTTAGTTTTGAAAATCTCCTCTTTAGAAAGCCGATTTAAATGTTTCCTTGAATGAACTCTGAGAGAATATTTCATATCAGGAATACAAAAAGTTCCCTTAGAAGTTCCTTTCTTGGTTTCTCTTTCGGGTTTGAGCTTTCTAAAAGGTTTTGATTTAACAGCATTTACATCGCATTCATAATTGTGGGGGTCTGGAACAGAATAACCATAAGCAATAGTGGAATTATACAAAGAGCCATGTTTAAAAGATGTCACAGAATTTTTCAGCTTGGGACACAAGACTGAACTACTAGAAACTGAGTTTACATGGACAGGTTTAGATTTAGTTTTAGAGTACAAAATGGAGCTGGATCTAGGACCAGGCTTATTCTCAAAAACTTTCTTCTTGCCAGCAGCTATTTCCTTTCTCTTCATCTCCCACTCTTTCTTCTCTTCTCCTCTTCTTTTCACTTCTTGTCCTGTGACAAAAGGAGAAGAGTGATGAGTGGCAGAATATTCAGAAAATTTAGTTTTATCAGAAGAGGTTTGAGCAGTTTTTAAAGCAGAATGATATTTTTCACTTAATTCATCAAATTTGCTTAATAGCTCTTGCCAGTTGCTTTCAGAACTTTTCTTTTCAGTTTCAAAACGCTCTCTCTCATTTTCAAGGGTTTTCTGAAGATCTGCATATTTTTGGACCAGTGGAGAGATGCACTTGTCCTGTCCAGACTTAAAAATTCCAGTTTTAGGAGTGGGACCCATTGGACTTTCGTAATATGGAACCCCTTTTGAGACATTAAAAATATCAAACCCCTCCTCGTTGTAGATTACCTTTTCTTTAGAAAGAGCTTTCTCAACCAGAGGAGTATAGTCAAAAGAGGTCTCAACTTTAGGATTACTCCTTTTCTCTTCTTCTTCTTTAGTGGTTTCTTCTTCACCCCCAAATTTCATTTTCTTATCAATGTCTAGAGTCAAGTAAGTTGCATCATACAACTGACGGCAGTCAACTTTCCTTAAATGACGCGGGTTCGGTAGTCCAAGACCAGCTTTTGGGTTGTAATGCTGAACATCGCTTATACGATTTAGAAAAACTGTGTGTTCGGTTTGACCTCTTCTGACACATACATCCTCAAGTTCCTTTACTTTGCTTAAAAGACTGCTTCTTTTATTTCTTAAAAATTCACAGTCAGCTTTAGCTGTGTTTTTCTCAACTTCACTGTCTTGCAGTTTCTTAGTTAGTTCAGCTATTTTAAGTTCAAAGCTTTCAAAGTCTGAGGACACCCTTTTGATTTGATCTTTGGCATTTTCAATTTGAACGCTTAAGGAAGATTTTTGGTCAAGGTTCTGTTTCAGTACCCTGTAATTATTGTCTAATCTCTCCTGCAGTTCTTTAATGAGGTGGTCCTTATTGTGTAAGGACTGAGTTTGTATAGTGTGAGAGTGATTAGAGGTACTTACAGTGCTTGTAGAGCATTCACTTCCGGGGATCGCAGCATCACCCTTTTTCTCTTCTTCATCCTCCAGCCTTGCCATCAAGGCGAAGTTCTCTTCCTCTTCTTCTTCTTCAGAATCATCTTTCGCCCACTGGACTAGCTCAGCATGTTTGCCAGAGGTTTCTGCTTCCTCCTGTTGTGCTAAGAAGAGCTTTTGTTTATTCATTAGAATCTTCTATTTGTAGAAGTTTGCATCTCTCTTCTTTGGGAGCCGACAGTCTTTGCTGATGTGTCCAGGCTTCCCGCAGTTATAGCACACAGGGGCATTAGCAGTTGATGTAGCCTTCCTGGCTGAGCTTTGGTCCTGGTTCTTTTGTTTGTAGTTGGAAGAAGAGGTTCGCAGCTTATTTGAAGAGCTGTTTCTCTTGGCAAACTTCTTGGCCAGCAGTGCCATCTTCTTCTGGAGATCTGCAAGCTCAGCTTCAAGATCAGTTCCTTCTTCATCACTCTCATCTTCATCAGATTCAACCTCTACTACTTTCTTCTTCTTCTTCTGCAGAGGTTTCGACGCTCTTTTGGGCTGAGCTTCCATTAGTAGAGCTAGAGGATTTGGGCTTGATTGTTCCTCAGTGCATACAACGTCATTGACGAACTCCTTTAGTAGCTCATTCAAGGTGAAGAGATCAATTTCATCCATGTCAATGCGTTGTCTCAAGTCTTTTACTGTTTTACTCCAAGATGGGTGCAGACTGGACAGAAATCTAGTATTCAGTTCCAGGTTGGTTCTGAATATTTTGATTTTCCTCATTTCACTCATCAACTTCACAAGTCTGGCATGAGTCTCGTGAAGAGGTTCTCCAGGAGCAGCCTTGAACGAGTCATAAGCCATCAAAATAGCAGATTTCTTTGTTTTTAGGCTTATGCTCGTGCCTTGGAGTAATTTTTCAATCTCGTCCCACATTTCTTTTGCAGTTTGCATACTGTCAATCATCACATACACTTCATTTGGGATGGCTTGGAGAAGGTATGTTTTGGCCATGAGGTCTCCTCTCAGCCTTAGCTTGTCTGCTTCAGTGTATTCAGAAGGCCTCTTTCGTCTTGTTTCAGGAGGAATGGGTGGATTATTTGTTGAGTCCCCTCCTACGTCAATCATTAGTACAGCTGGTCCTTCCAGGAGTGATTCCAGCATTGCGTCGGAGTTTTCTTTGTGTTCTAGGAAATTCAAGAAACGAGTTCTCCACATTTGGTACTCCCCTTTCCTCAGAGATGGAGGAGTACTGCTGTTTCCTTGCGCATTAGATTCAGAAGCCATTCCTGTTGTTGTAGAAAACTGACCGTTCGAGAAATAAGATCAGAAAATTTACTAAGTCAAGAACTCGAGTTCCTGAGTGTTCAAGGCCTAAACTCGAGGTCTGGGGAACTCGAGATGAGAGTTCGAGTTTGTGAACTCGAGGTCAAGAGTTCGAGTTTCTAAGAACTCGAGGTCTAAACTCGCAGGGTCAAAACTCGTGGTCAGACTGCGAGTTTGCAGGCTGCGAGTTTGTTGAGTGCGAGTTGTTGACCGCGAGTTGTAGGCTGCGAGTTCTTGAGCTCGAGTTTGCAGGCTGCGAGTTTCTCAACTCGAGTTTACAGGCTGCGAGTTTATGCAAAAACACCTGGCTGCGAATTCCTGAAAAAATAAAACTTCAGATTTTCAGAAATACAAATATGGTAGGTTGTAGCCCTTGTAGTAGAGATCCGTTTACCCAAGTTTCAGGTCAAAAAGCTGCACAGAGCTTAGAGAAACGAGGGGTGCGAGTTCAAGGGTGCGAGTTTACTTCTGAAGAAAAATTGCAGAAACGAAAAAGGAAGATATACTGCTTGATCGTCTTTGAAACGCGATTCTAACAGTATAACTTTTACAGTATTCGGTGCAGAAATAAGATTACAGATGATAAACTCGCTATTCTATAAAAACAGAGTCTTTCGCAGATAGTTCTTCTGATCAGCTCTCGATCGGCTCTGATACCAATTGATATTCCCTGTTTTCTATAACAACAGTATAATATGGCATACAGATGAAAGATTAAGAATAGAGATGAACACAGAAAAATCAAGTGAAAACCTTCTCTGATATACCGTGAATCTTTCGTACAAGAATGATAAGCGCTAAGGCTATTTTGAGCAGATACGAAAGTTAACCACAAACCTGAGTCCTCCTCCCTCTTTTATAGGCGAGGCTCAGGTATGCGTACAAAGGCTTCTTGCCTGAGTATGGGCCTAACACTTGGCCCATATTGTATACTATTCTAACAGATATATTTAATCAGTACAGAATAGAAATAGTAAACATCTAACTTATTACAGACAAGACAGACAAACTTGATTCACAATAAATAGTCTTCAACACTTCTTGATCGCTTCAAAAAAATAATGATATTTTTTTATATCCATTTGGTTAGATTATTTGACATTAGATAAAATTATTTCACATTAAATAAAGTTCATAGTTACTTACTTAGCAACCATGTGATGTGTCGCCCATTCCGAATCTTCATTGTTGTGCTCAGCTTGGGTTAAGGGCGCATAGTTCGGGCGAGCATGGGAGGTTGATTGTTCATTGCTCATCTAAAATAATTGATTAATGAGGAGTATTAATTTACATTTTCAAATAATAGTGTAAATATAATAGAATATCAAATTTTGGTTGAAATCTTAAATAAGTTTTCGTATTTAAAATTTATAAAAAACATTTTATATAAAAGCAGTTTTTTGTAAACAGTTTTTTGTAAACAGTTTTTTGTAAACAGTTTTTTGTAAACAGTTTTTTATAAACGTTTTTTATAAACAGTATTTTATAAACAGATTTTTATAAACAGTTTTTTATAAACAGTTTTTTATAAACAGTTGTATAAAAAACAGTTGTATAAAAAACATAAAAACAGTTTTGTGTAAAAACAGTTTTGTGTAAAAACAGTTTTGTGTAAAACAATTTTGTGTAAAAACAGTTCTTTGCTATAAACAGTTTTTGGTAAACAGTTTTTGGTATAAACGGTTTTTTGGTATAACCAGTTTTTTGGTATAATAAAACAACCTATTCTTCTATTCAGAAGAAGAATCAAACAACCCCAACTCCATCTTCTATTCTTCTAATATTATTCGGGTCACCTTGTGATAAGCTCCAAAAAGTATAACTTAACTTCACTTTGTTCCAACCAAAAACTGCCATATAAATACTTAGTACGTGTGTTTTAAAACAAATCCTTGACAAACAATTTTGTCATAGGGGTTGTCACGGATTTATTCCATGACCTTTGGGGTGTGACAAGCATTTCTCAGGAACTAAGAAACATTCCAAAAATGTTTTTGCACTTATCCGAGTGGGATTGCGGGAACACTAAAAATTTGAAAATTCACATTTTGTCAAGGACTCAATCCGTGACAAACAATTTTTTTGATTAAAAAGAATAAATGCAAATAATTCGTGGGAAATACAGAAATTCAAATTTGTCACGGCCCCAATCAGTGACAAATTAAATATTAAATAAAAAATAAAAATGTTACAATTACAATATTTCATAAAAATTCAAATTTTTAATACTACGGAGTATTTATTACAATTCCGGGGGTCTTCATCATTGAAATAATCATTTGGATCAAAATCGACGTTGGGGGTTGACTCGGGTTGATCCCACACCATTTCATCATAGTCTTCTCATCCACTCATCTCGGTAGGAACGTTACGAGACGAACCTACTGTTTGTGGTAAAAATGATGGATCGAAAGGTTCGCCATGAGCAGTCCAATTATAATAATTGTCAACGAAACCTTTTTTGTACAAATCCCACGCAACGTCATCGCTGTCTTTAAATTTGAGATTTTTACACTTTGTACATGGACATCTGATTTTATCACCATCCATAAAATTCTTTTGTTCAAGTGCAAATTTAATAAACTGTTCAATTCCTTTAAGAAATTCGTCTCGTATTCCTCTCTTTTCACCATGTTTTTCATACATCCAACTTCTGTTTTGTCTATACATTATGCCTGAATAATATAATCAAAATATTATATTGGTTAAAACTATAAATTATAAACATTAACAATAATTAATTATGTGTCAACATTTAATCCGTAATGGCATTATAAATTTTAAACTATAAATTATAAGTCTATATTAGTTAAAATTAACTAACGCTCAATTAATATTATTAATTAACTAAACACACTAAATCATTACGTCAATGTCATTAATTCATAATACTAATGTTTTGAAACTCTAATAATACACAATAAATTAACTAACATTTAAATTAAATTAAATTCAAATAATTCACAATAATAATTCATTGACCACCTAAAAACTCACACAAAAGTAATGTCTAAATCCTAAATTAAATCATTATAAATCCTCAACTAAAGGCATTAACAATAATTGCTAAAATTTAGTATATATTTTTAAACGAATTTGAAGTAAAATGTTTTAAAGAAATAATATTAACTAAAACCCATAAAAAACCTAATATTTTTATTAACCCATTTGAATTAACTTATTTAAATTTAACTAATATTATCAATTGAAATATTAAATTAAATGGTATTACCAATAATTGAAAAATTAATATTTATTTCCAAACGAATTTCAAATATATACAAACTAAATTATAACACCACTAACATTCGAAGTTAAATATATCCTAAAACTTTGCACTAAAGTGATGTTTAACTCCTAACTTAAATCATTATAAATCCTAAATGAAAGTCATTAACAATAATTGCTAAAATTTAGTATATATTTCTAAACGAATTTTAAATAAACATTTTAATTAACTACAAATCTGAAAGACATTTTAATTGAATTAATTACTATTATTATTACTTAAAACTCTAAAAGGATTTTGACTAAAAGGCATAAACAACCAAAATTTTCATAAACTCATTTGAATTAACTAATATTTAAATTTAACTAATATTATCAATTCAAATCCTAATTTAACGGTATTACCAATAATTGAAAATTTTATGTACATTTCCAAATGAATTTCAAATAGATGCACAATAAATAATAACATCACTAACAATTTAAATTATTTATAACGAAAAATAAAACATTTAGCATTAAAAAAGATAAATAATTCAAATGACATTCCTTATCTACATGGACAAGGAAAATAATATAAGATCACGCCCTTCAATCTTTCAACAGATATTGTATTATACTCTGATTGAATTTATAACTGGTAGGAGTCGAATGAAACTATTGTTGCATATATAAAACATCATGTCATGGACTTTGTCTCGGATTAATCCGTGACAACCTTTATTCATACAACATTAACCTAATGACCGTTGGGAATAGCAATTATTGAGTTTGTTACGGATTTTGTCACGGACGGATCCGTGACAAACTAAAAAAAATTAATAGTTTTGTCACGGATTTCGTCCGTGACAAAACGCCGGATTAAAAAAAATCACCGGCATTAGTTGACGGTCACCGGAGTAGATTTGTCACAGATTTGGTCCGTGACAAATTGTTTGTCACGGATTTTGTCTGTGACAAAGCTTTTTGGTGACATGTGAGATAAATCCGTGACAAAATGATGTTTTTTTGTAGTGTATTTAGAATGTGTTTTAAAAGTTTGCTTCATTTTTCTCTTTTTGGTAAGTTTTTCCTTTAAAAATATTCAACTACCTTTTAATTTTTCTATTTCATATCTTTTCTTTCATACTTTTCCACCTTTATATCCTACTTTTTATACACTATTTATTACTCCTACAATTTTCCGCTTAAATATTGTGCAAAAGCCTAAAGTTCTCTTTCTATCTTTTCTACCTTTCTCTCCTACTCTTTTTACACTATCCATTACCCCTACTATTTCTCCTATAAATATTGTGTCAAAGCTTAATGTATTGATCTTTTAAATATAAAGGGAGTAATATTTCTCTAAATTCATAAATAAACTAATTTTATTCTACTCAATAGTCAATGCAATCAACGTACGTATATCATTCTACAATGGTAAATAATCTAAATTCATAAATCCGTAAATATTCTACATTCATAAACTATTATTATTAAATTAATATCATATCACAACAGGCAACATTTTTTTAAATTCATCAATTCGTAAATAATCTAAGTTCGTAAACAACCTAATACTATCGTATTATTCTATGTTTTGTAAATAAATTTATAAATTTATTTTAACTTTGTAAATAATATAAATTCATACAACGTATTAAATACACTTAAAACTTCTACATTTGTACTACATGATAATAATATTTGCACTACTTATTACGTAGTATTAGTGATCGAGAATTAACATTTTACATTTTTACTTGTTAATATTAACATTATATAAATGTAACTTAATACGGAGTACTCCGTATTTTATTACAACAACCAATTTATTTGAAGTACTTATAATGTGGTGTCTTAATTAATATTAATATTATACTAATATTAATTAAAATTAACTAATACTCCCTCTGTCCCAAAATTATGTTCATTCTTTCCTTTTCGGTCCGTCCCAAAATTTTCAATTCTTTCCCTTTTTGGTAAAGAACATGTAGTTCACAACCATTCTTACACATTTCCAGGGATGAATTTAAGGGGGGGTGCAGGGGTGCGACCACCCCCCTTGAACTTTCAAAATTTTCTACTATGTATGTAATGTTTTTGTAAAATTTTGATACTTCATTTAGATTGGCTCCCCTTAACTTTTTTTTCAACATTGCCCCCCTTAACTTTTAGTTTTTAAAATTAATATATAGTCTTACATAATGTAATACTTAATTGGAGATTTAAAAGAAGGAACGTCTAAAATCATTTCCATAACTTAAATAAACAATAGAACAACTCATTATTTAAGATTTAGGATACTTATTATATAAAAATTATTAGTTTTGTAATGTTTAATTATCTTTATTAGATACCCAGTAAAAAATATAATTTTGAAAAATACATATCAAATGATATTAAATATCAGACACTCTAGCTACAAAGTTTTTAGATCATGTGAAGTAAATCCAAATTATAAATGTTTATTGACATTAAATTACACAATTCATTCACTTCTTACGTTCTAAGAAGACTTTATTGCATAGATAATATACTTTAAATATTTTAGCATTAATACAAATATAATATGCGCTATATATATGAATTAGCAATATAATATTATTCTAAAAATAATAATATCATACATATTATTGTAATATTAAAAGAACTCCTTGTGACTTATGAACACCTTCCATGGTAGACAAAAATTGTAATTCAAAAATCAATTCTTTTATTTCTATAAGACTCATGTAGTTAAACAATGTTGAAATTATTTTAAAAGTATTGGTGAATGTGTACCTTATAAACTCTTTATATTTAAATAAAATGTTATATATCATTTTTATTTTTATAATATTTTCCTTTGATTTGTCATTTCTTATGCTTTAATGTATCAATACATTTTTAGAACACTCCAATTATAAAATTAAAGTTATTTTATCATTGTCTAAACTTAAAATGTAATATATAGATTTAAATGTCCTCATGCATGTATTAATGAAATGTTTTTGAATTAAAATAGCCGCAAAGCCTTACACTAGTGAAAAATTTCACTCCGCCACACTAGCAAAAAAATTCGCCCCGCTACAGTAGTGAATTTTTTTATGTCCGACACTAACGAAAATTTTCGCCCCCTTGACTCAAAATCTTGGATTCGTCCCTGCACATTTCTCTCTCCTCTGCACAATTATTCACCACACAAATTCCACTATTTTAATCCATGTGTCCGGTCAAAATCGAAGTTAATTATCGGACCGAGGAAGTACTAACAATAATGAGATGTCTTACACTTAAATTAACCATTTACGAAGTATTATTCTATATTCATAAATAAACTAACTAAATGAAAAAAACGAATTTACTACAGTAGTATACTGAAATTAATAAACTAACTAAGATGCAATATCCAAATCATATCATATCAATTATTATAATATAGATACATACATGCCTGAAGTATAAAAATACATAATAAAATAAGAATAATAAATTTGAAGTGCACATTATTTAAAAAACTCCTAACCTCGACTCTTAAGAAGCAATCTGCCTGAATATCAAATTGGAAGAGATTTTTGTGATTTGGGTACGGTGGATAAGAAATCTGGAATAGTTGCCTTGCTTTATTATGTAGAGAAGATGAATGTTTATGTAGCGTCCGATCTACCAAACTCGTTCTTGGCCGATGGATCTAACAACACAATATTCGGATTCGCTTAATGCGACTCTTTTGCTTCTTACATCTGCGTTTTTGCAGACTCTGGAAGTAATCTGGGCAACATACAGGGGCCGCCCTAGGGGCAGGTGGCAGCCTAGGCCCATGAAAATGAGTACAAAATAGACCTAGGTTCAGCCTTGAACTCATGATTTTTTTGGGGGAATTTTGTACCGGCAGGCGTAACTCAACTAGTAGTAAGGGAGTGCCACAAGGGTTGAGTCCTGGGTTCGAATCCCGGCAACTGCGATGAGGGATTACTATGCTAAAAATGCATAGGGTCTCTGCAAGTATCGGGGATAGAGCCCCACTCTCTATCTGTCAGATTGAAATTATAGTCCAATTTACATCCTCCCAACGTACCGTCCGGTCGGGATTGAGGGGCCCTCAGGGATGGGGTGTCATCCTTTTTTTTTGGAGGGAATTTGTTGAAGTTTCATGGAATGGATTTTTTTAATGTAAACTTATGATCAATTCTCTGTAAAGTTTAGATTATGTTAAAGAAAAATTGAGTTTATAGTTTAATTTATAAGTCGGTTAAATAAACTATGGGAAAATGTTGTCTCTTTATACATATTTCGTCCTAGTGTTTTTTAAATTATTTATTTAATTGATTTTACGATTGAATTCTAAGCTGAAATTTTATAGACAATATACAGTTTATGAAAAATATTCTCATACAATTTCATAAAAAATCCACTCAAAAGCATATTAGTCTGGTATGATTATTTGATTAGTTTATTAATTCATTCCATTCATAATTGATCGATTGACTTCTTAATTACCGATTTTATTTGTAATTTCAAATGCGAACCTTTATGTTCAAATTTAACCTTTAATTTTAAAATGAGTAGAGTTATACTCCAATTACAATGATGAAATAGGCAACTTCATATGAGAGGATGTACACCAATTACAATGATGAAATAGGCAACTTCATATGAGAGCTTTAGACCCTTTCGATGGAGAATAGATAGATTTTTTACATGGATAAATTTAGTTCTACTTGTGATCAATGTTCTAAAAGGCGTTAGGCGCTAGGTAGACGTCAACCCAGCGCCTAGCGCCTAGGCGGCTAGGCGGGCGCCTAGGCGGGGATTAGCCGGAGACATATAAATTATATTTTTATCAATATTTATGCATAAATATGATAAGTAATACGTAGTAAAACGGTAGTATTGTGTTTGTGTGTGTATGAAAAATACACACACGTCAACATGCATGAATGATAGAATTATCACATTTAATAATATATGACAATCAATCACTTAATTGAATTATGTTATAAATATTAAATAATAATATAAATTTAAGAATATATACAATCATAAATAGTTTTTATCTTAATTTACAAGTACCTCACTTCATATTCATGATTAAAGTTAAAGGTACATATATCTCTTAGAAAAAGAAAAAAAAAATTGTTCGACGAATCTAGACTCCCTAGGCAGTTATTAGGCGCTCTGGGCGGGCAACTAGGCGTCCTAGGCGGTCGACTAATTCACCTAGACGCTAAACCAATTAGTCAGGGCGCCTAGATGAAAATCGGGGCGCTCTGCCACCGCCTAGCGCATAGCTAGGCAGGGACTAGTCGGGCGTCTAGAATGAGTTTTAGAGCAGTGGCTGGAGTATATATTAAGCTTGTAGTGGCATTGAGATGGTGGATAGATTGACTGTGTTGTGTGCGTAGCTTGATACGAATTGACCAATACGATGACAAACCAAAATTTTAGACAAACAACATTAAAACATCATCATTTTTTTCACTAACTATAGACATACATCAATTTACCCATTTAGAACACTATTTAGCCTTTGAAAAAGCCACCACTCACGTAACACCACCGATTCTCCACCAAGATTTTAAAGAGATTATAGGTGATGTGCTCAAATATCAGTCACACCACTAACCTCTAAAAATCAGTCCACCACACATTGAGCCCATTCATTTTATTGTTTTTCAAAAATGTCTCTGAAATAAATTTCCCATGCTGAGAGCATGAGATAAGCCACTATTTTTTCCTTGATATCATTCATTCCACTTACCTTTTGCTTCACTCTTTTGTATCAGAGGATCGCAGAGCTAGAAGAAATCATTTGTAGGATTGTAGGAAGAATATGATCATTTCCATACTCAAAAAGGAGATATCGGTTTTACACGAGGTGAGTCTGATTATGTGAAAGTAACATGGTGTACCTCTCTCACTGAGCAATGTTTGCACACTAAACAGACCACTAAACATAAACCTTAAAGTATATCTTTTGCAATGAGGTAGCTATTAACTAATCCATAATAGAAATCTGCTAGTGAGGTTAACTATGTTGGATGGAAATATCATGGAATCAAGTCTATAATAGAGGATCTAAAAATGCCAAAGTTCTTCCGAAACGGAATGTTTTGAATGTTTCATTGTGAACAGGTGTCCAATCTGACAAGAGTACAACCAAAATGCACTTTCTCAACAGTTCCCAGCCCAAACAACATGCATCATCCTGTTTTGACACATATTTTTTTTTAAACCCCAGAAAATAAACCACCAAAATAAGTGTGTCAGAAGCTGGGGGTCAACTGTCAGAATATTATTAAAGAGATTGAAATATTACAATCAGAGAAGGAGGTCAAACCAAACTTCTCAAAAAGAAATCCAAAGAACATAAACAGCAAAATAAAACACCCAAATAACTAATAGATCACCCTCAAAGACGGCAGCCCAAACAGATCACCACAATAAGAGTTCCGGGCCTGAACCGGAAGATCCGACACCCGAGAAAAAGTACAGCTCTAGCCCATATCTGCAGCAGCCAAGTAATGGGCCGGCCAGTTCGCCTCTCTCGAATCAACGAAAAAGGAAATGCCACTGGCTTCAGACAAATCCAACAAACGAGCAACCCCATCACATCCTCTGCCAACCCTTCGACGTTTGATATGCTCCACCGCTTCCAGTGAATCTACCTCAACCTGGAAATCTCGGAAGCCGAGGTTAGTCACCCATGTGACTGCGTGAATCAAGGAACAGAGTTCAGCTTCAAAAGCGGAGGAGGCCATGATCGGGAATGAAGAGGCGATAATCATCCGTCGTGTAGCATCTCTTAGAATGGCTCCCCCAGCAGCTCGGCTAGGTAAATAAGTTGCATCAATATTAAGTTTAAGAGATGATAAGTCCGTATTTAGAAATGCATTTGATGCGTGTTCAGGTTGGATTTTGATGGTTTTCCTAGCTTTAAGGTGTTGCAAGTCTCAATTTTAACTCAAGTTGTGATTACCAGGCGTTGAGTCGAGTTTTGTTGCATTTGGAGTCAAATTGAAGAAGTTAGAGTCCGACAATCGGCGCTTGAGAGACAATCGGGAGGAGCTAGAGAGGATTCAAGAAAGATTTAAGAGATTTGGAGGTCACCGGGTGATTCACGGCGAAATTTTGATGAAGAAAGGGCATTTGGATTGACTCCGTTTGCATGCGGGAACGTTTGGGGCAAGAAAACAACAAAAAGGAGGAAAAAAAGGGACACACGGTCGTGCGTCTGGTACGCACGATCGTGCATCTGGTACGCACGATCGTGCATCGGATATGAAATCACGAAGTACTGTATGCCTGCTACGCACGATCGTGCGTAGCCAAGGAAGGACGCACGATCGTGCGTAGCCCCGAGTTACGCGCTGAAATTTCCCACATCGACCAGAACTGCGATTTTTCCCCTGTTTTCTATAAATAAGGTCTCCTTAACCCTTTTTAGGGGTTACGAACATTACGAAGAGGCCTAGGGACGAATTTAACACACAGACAAAAACAAGAATGTATGTATTATGAAGAAAACCGATTTTCACACAGACAAATACAAACAATCTGTTTTTGTTTTATGGAAAACGAGAATTTTTCTTAAAATATCGGAGTTTTATGAAGAAAACCGATTTTCACACAGACAAAAACAAAAAAAAATCTATATCAGATATTTTAAAATTCTCGTTTAAAATTCTAGTTTAAAATTGTCTGTATCACAGACATTTTATGAAAAAATCTTCTCTAAAATGTCTGTGATACACACAACTCTTTATTTTTGTCTGTATGGAAATCCATTTTTCTTCATAAAACGTCGGTAAAATTGTTTGTACACAAACAATTTGTACACAAACAATTTGATCGGCGGGTAACCCAACGTGTGCACGAAGCGGGACTCTAAGTGATAACCTGACCCCTTCCCTCCCTCCTCTCCAAAACCTCCCGTCCAAACATAGCTTTAGAGACATACTGTGTTTGTGTATGCTAGTATGATATTATGACATCTGACCATATGGTTCGCCTAATTTGAGAGTTTTCGATCTAAACTTTTTAAGATCTGATCAAATCCAAAATAAAATTTTCTAATATGGTCTAATCTAATGTGTATGATTTGCAATAAATCTTTCTTGTAGGATCTTATTTGAATTTTTTCTGATTAGAATCTTTTTGATTTGATTATGTTTATTATTATGAAATAATTATACTTACAATTATCATCATAATTATAATTGTAGTTTGATAAATCAAATGAAAAATCAACTTTTTAGATCAAAATGGACTATTCTTTGGTACAAAAAATGTTAGAAAGATCCCTTTTTAGTTTATTTTTTAAGATGTACGGAGTAGTGTTTATTGAAGGCCAAACAATCTATGGTTAGATCCAGTCAGCTGGTTGTAACTTCGATTTTGATTAGTTTGTTGGATGGGTTTGATTGGCCAGCCCTTATTCCTTGATCCAAAAGGTGGAATCTCCCACCTCCAGAGTCCCCCACACCCCGGTCCGATAGGGCACGCGGAAGGATGTAAATCACGGTGACTCAGTCAGCGAAGTCAGTAGGCCCATATACCCGTGCACGCCAGAAGTCCAACCCATTTTAGAGGTCTAACCTCCACATGGTCACTACGGGATTCGAACCTTGGTCCCTTGATCCAAATTTCCGACCACTCAACCAACTGAGCTACCCGTGCGAATCCGACCCTTATTCATGTATATATGCCAGTGTCATAAGTTCTTTTCTTTACATTTATTATTCCAAAACACTCATCTCTTGTGCAGCATATTTTCCTGAATCCCTCGGTTATAATCTGCTAATTAAGGCCTAAAGTTCGGTTTAATGTTTTTATATATCCCGTCGTC